GACGATGGCAAGTACCCCTTAATGGCCTCCTTGCGAGCGAATTCCATAAGCCCCGAATTACGCTTCACCTTGTCAATGTAATCAAGGTCATGCGAGTGTATAGGGCTACTCCCAGGTGTCCTTGCGATAGTCACCGTTGAATAGGCTCCTTCGAAGCGCACAACTTTGATTTGAAAGTTGCAGATACCACCCTCACGTACCCTCTTTTTCCGAGGACGCTTACCCTCTGGTAGAGGCCGAGTCTCAGATGTGCGATGCGTTGGGCGCCGTAGACGACACATATAGTAGTCTGTTGTGCAGTGGCCTTCTTTGCTGGAGTTGGACCTTTGTTTGACCCACACATTATCGATGTATGGCCAGTATGTTTCAAATTCCTCGAGGCTAATCTCAATTGGATCTTTGCACTCAAACATTACTTGTCGTATTCTTGCGAGGTTTGGCGGGTTATTTATAAGGTTGTATCTAGTTGGAGTGCCCACATCCTTCGAGTTGCCAGCAGTGGCACAGTTGCCATTCGACTCACTTGGTCCAGCATGTCGTAAAGTAGCCTCATTCTCAGCTGGCCCAGCTTCATGAAAATTTGAAGCACCGCGGGACCTTGAGCTATCTTCAGACTCTAGTGAGCTTGTTTGGCTGCCGGAATTGTTCGTTGCGGTGTGATGATGATTGCTCGCCTCCATCGTTTTCTCCGATGTTGACTCCAGGGTAGGCGTTGCCAGTACTGTACTTTCATTGTGTAAGGGATATACGTCAGATTCGGAGGATAATGAATTCGCGCTCGTGGTTAACACGTCCGAATGGTCATGGCTCATGTCGGGTGCTTAGGGATCGGCTCCTAGTAGTCAAAGACTGAGATTCCTGTACAAAACCTCGGTTTGTGAGGGCCCCACATCGGCTAGCACTGAATTCAATTCATGATTAATCGATGGTATAGATACATACATCGGTTGGGGGGGTTAGGATTTGGGAGAAATATAGATAGACTTGATTGTTTCTTCTTAGTTTGTAATTGCCCTGTTCAACGGTTTTCCATGCTAGATGTTAAGTGTCGGTCTGCATCGCCTTGAACCACCCGCCCTTGGCGCAACCTCGACGACTGGGCGCGGAAAAAGTCCGCCCATGGGTTTACCCTCCGACATCGAGTAAACGTCTATAGAACACCAACACTACCTACAGTTTGCACATATAATAGTTCTGACCAATCGGCGCATAGCCTGTACGAGGAATGATAGGAGTAAAGTTAGGTAACATCAAGCATACACTGCTGCATAACAACTACCTAGTGGAATGGCATTTAATATGCCCCGATTTCTGCGCCAGCACGGGCCAGCGTCTCGTAGACTCTTGGTGGCAATTTATACTTCACCATGCCAGAAAAGATCATAAGGTCTTTAGCCATTACCAGTAACTCATCAGCTAGGCTTTGTCTGATTTCATTTTCGTATGTTCCAGACCTCAGTCGTTCTCTTTCGTGGCCAATACATGTGATGCTCCACATTACCACATGCCCAATATTGCGAGAGATTATCGTGGGAAAGGATGAGAATGCTTGAGCTGCGCTTCGGATATAGGGCACCGAGCCTCTAGCCCGAAGAGGAAGAATATTCAAGGCGTTGATGGCCTGCAATAATACTGTTAGAGACAAAAGCCCAGAGGGAAGGGGAAGAAAGTAGAAAAGAACAAAAGTCCATCAATTTGTCATGGGTGATGATACTTACATCCAGCGCTGGAGTCCATTTTCCTGCTTCAACCTCAGCTTTGGCTTCCATCATTTGAAGCAACAAACCACATGCATCACGATTGACTGGGCGGATTCGCTGGTAGTACAGAGCATTCATGTTGTAAATGCTTATAATGTTTCTTGCCAGAGCCACTGGGTCTTCCACTGCCGTCAAGCTGAGGCTACTGCTAGGGTCCCTAAGAGCCTCCTGCTCTGAGGCTTGAGCATCTTGCTGCTTTGTCCGTGGTTGCAATGGCTGCAGCTTCAAGGAAGGACCGCCCAATTCGACAGCTACAGAATCAGATAGTGCTCTGTTGATGATATCAATCACGCGGTCGTAGTCTTCAGCGAGATGGTACAAGAGGACGGCATCCGTAATCAAGCCCTTGTCATCGGCCACAGCTGCCGCTTGTACAGTTATGGTTTTCAAAAACTCCTCTTGATCTACCAACTTGATCAAGCCAATCCGTTGCTCAATGAGCCCCTTGACTCTGGTTCCATCAGAACGTACATCCCCCAGCAACCTGGCGAATTCCCGAGTCTCCAAGATATATTCGCGCAATGCTTCGTGACACACTGAGGCTTGTGACTTGCCTAAGGATCCTGGAAGGTCAGCGTTGAGGCAAAGTAAGGAGAAGTAATCAATTGCTGCTTCCACGAATCCAGTACGGAATTCCTTCGTGTATTGTATGACGAGATAGCCGAAGTTGATCTGTGGATATTGTTTCACAGTGAATGACACTGCTTCTGTTAGCAAATCTACATATAGTCAAGACAGAAAAAAGCGAAGTCCAATGTTACTTACGAATTTCTTCACCTGAAGTGTAAAAATCAGACACGCGCAGAAGGCCATAGTAGGCTAAAGCAATTGCAAAGTGCACAGCGCTGACTGGAGCGTAAGAACCGAGGTAGGAGACAGCCTGTTCAAACATTCCGCCCAGGATTTGTAGGAGGAAGAAAGTTCCATAGCCGCCAGGTCCCTCTTGGCCCTTCCCGAAAACTCGCTGCCCGATTTCAGCAATATCTGTCTGGATATCCTCTAGCCCAAAAACATCTCCTGCAACCTCTTCAGCACGATCATCTTCTCTAGCCAAGCTGAACTGCAACCACATCCAGTCTTCAACACTTTGGTTTACACCTTCCAAGCGTCGGCGACTAAGGTCACAGCGTCCGATAATCTTGTAACAAGCCATCCGATAAGGATCGACAGTATTATCAGGAGCATTGAGTGATCGTTGTTGATATTCACCATTGATTTTTTGCTGTAGGTCCCTTGGTAAACGTCTATTTTGTGCGTAAGTTGTCATATAAGTCACGAATTTATGATCCAATGACCGGAACCCGGGATCTTGGCTAACATATTCTGCGGCCTCAGTAATGAACCCACATCGGAGAAGATAGAATATGAGGATCCAGCAATAATCCTGACCAACCATTTGCAGCTCCGTCCCGTCGGGAGCGAGATCCTTCCTCACCGCTCTAAGACGAATATAGGCGCGAATTTTGTTGATCACAGTTGGTATTCCACCAAGCTGCGCTTCTCGAGGGTTTTTTGCAATTACACTTTCAACTTCATTATAGAATAGATTCTCAAGAAACGTCCTGGACCCATCCACAATCCTCTTCCTCAAGCTAATAGCACGTCGCGAGGCCGGTGCTTCTTCCAGATAATCTTCAGAAAATTGGCGCTCCTTCAATGCACCCGGATCTGACGTGTTTACAATGCTTGGAGTTTCTTGGACAATGCTTATCAGCGCATGGTATGCGTCAAAGAGTTGACGGGGAACCTTATGCCGTCAGCTGAGAACAAAAATTTCCATCAAGTCAACTTACATCGCCACCGACATGGCTTTCAATTTCGGAGAATTCATGGAGGATAGGGAAAGTACGTGCTTGGAGCCTAGCGGAGTTTAACAATTGAACCTTATCCGCATAGCGGCCCATCTTTTCCCGTAAGAAATGGAGATCTGAAGACTGAGCGCCGGATGCCTCGCTTCGCTCCATCGGGGTTTCAAAGAATCGACGGCTCGCCGTTCCAGTGCCGGGTACACCAATGACTGATTTCTCCATACCAGAGCGCCCAAAGACACTCCTGTTGGTGACGCCTGGAGCGGCGTAGCTTGATGTGGCACCATGTTGTTTCGACTGTCGCACAGAACGGCCGAACGCGCCTCTTCCATCACCAGTATTTTCATCCTTCTGTGCTAAACCGAAATGCTGGAAAATTCTCCGACGCTGCTCTTCCCAATCTAAATCGACCTTTTCCTCCAAGAATATATCGAAATCTCTATGAATACGAGTAAGGCTCTCCGCGATCATTGCATGGCGGCCGCGTTGTTGTATATTGCGCAAAAACTTTTGATTGTCGGGGTCAAAGGTCTCCTGTTCTTTCGTAGGGCCTGATACCAAGGCTTGGGGGTCTAAAGCTTTAAGATCCCTCAAAGTATGTCCTGGTGAAACTCCAGACGCGGCAAGGAGATAGTGACTGTTGCGATTAAAATTTTAGTTATGTTGTAAAGCCAAGGAAGGGATATTAAACCTGAAGAATATACGTACGCTTTACTGTTCTGTATATGCTGTGGACTCTTTGTTCCACCAGCACCAAGTTCTCTTGCTTTTCTTCGGATATCATCGAGGCCCAATTGGAGACTAGGTAGCTCTTCGTAATTGCTGTTTCGTCCTATTGCAGAAAGCGGTCGTTTTTTACCACGCTCCAGCAAGCTGTTGAAAAACGCAGGCTGCGTGGAGTGATTAGGGGGCCGTGAGGATTGGGTTATATTAGCCTGCACCTGGCTCTGCCCAAGATTTGAAGATGGGGTAGGCTGTTGCTGGGTTTGCGGCTGTGCGCTAAAAAGTGACCCGGTTGATTGACCCTGGGTAAAAGTATTCCCTACAGAATTCATTGAATTATTCGTCATAAAGAGCGTCGATGGCTGTGTGGTGGCTCCCAGTGCACCCCCCCCAAATAAAGAATTTGAGCTTGTGGATGCCATTGAGCAATGAAAACAACGGGAAGGAAAGGACCTTAATCATAATAGTGTTGGGTTAGTAAATAAGTCCTCTTTGATAAGAAAGTGGGCTAGAATTATACAAAGGGCAGTGGACGAAAGGTAATGCTCACTATTCAGTCACACAAGACAATCTTAGACATCAGACTTGGTAGGCCTTCGCACTTGATGTTTAATGAAACACCTCTGCCGCGAACTGTATTTCCAACACCAGCTTATCCCGGACTTTCTATTTCACCGAATGCTCAGTTCTCAAGTCCAGAGATGGCGTGCCTTAGGCTCACTAAGAAAGAAAAGCCCTTTCTACAACAACGCAATCTAGGTTTAGTTAAGAGCAGAATAGTACACCACTTCTTATCTTCTTGTCCTAGACTTCCCTGCATTCTCATATTAGTTTCGGCAATGCCCGTGTTCCAAAGCAAAACGTTCCGTCGTGCAACAACAGCTTCGTCTTCACTCGGGGAACGGATTGGCGAGACCTACCGTGCTAGATTGCCAAAGCATCCGTTTCTTCTCTTTGGATTACCCTTTGTTATGATAATAGTCGCGGGGTCATTTGCTTTGACCCCTGCTGCTGCCCTGAGATATGAACGGTACGATCGCAAGGTGCAGCAATTAAGCCAAGAGGAAGCAATGAATTTAGGGCTGAGAGGGCCAGACGGGGAAGAGGGAATCAGAAGGAACCCTCGAAGACGGATAATTGGAGATGAGAGGGAAGAGTACTATGTAAGTTAAAGTATTCAACTTGTCATTTTTGAAGGGCACATCATTAACAAACTTCTACAGAGGCTCATGGCCAAAGATTTGGACAACTGGGAGCAGAAAAGGGTGCAAAGATTTAAGGGTGAGCCTGATGGGAAACTCTGAATAATTTGCTTTAAGTACTATTATATTTATATTACATATTCTGCATTCTGATTCTCTCGCTTGTTGGCTGTTTAAGCATTTGTTCATTGCTCTGCAGCCGATCAGTTTGCTTCTGTTCCTATATAGATACCTTCTTCCTTTCTCTCTCTCATTCACTCTTGTGCTTAATTGGAAACGGCCTTTGTGGGCGAAACTTTCATGTACGCATAACAACTGTTTCGAATTCACTCATTTAGTGATTTCCACTTATAAAAAGTCTGCCACTTCTAATATAGCATCTCCCTGTGTCAGCAGTCTCTGCAGTACTGCAAGAGGCTCGGTATGAATAGGTTTGAAGGGTCCCCCACCATATGTAGCTACCTAGTTTTGTCCCCGTGTTGTAAGAGATCATAACTAAAAGATCAGAAAAGTGAACCTATTGGGTTGAACTGCCTTGACATTTATCTTTGTCCCTCTTGTCTTCCCCAACCGCTAGAGCCGAGAAATCAAGATGAAACATATTTGTAATGTTCACTAATATTGTAGATATGACCGGATTGCAGAACTATCAGTGTCGAGGGTTGAGTAGACCCGCATGTTGGTGTCACATCTAAATAGGCAAAGTCTGCGGCGACATAGAAAATGAACAAACTACAACAACCACAAGAAACAACTGCGGTACAGAGTAGAACTTAACTCCAAAGCGTACATTATCCTAGGTACCTACAGTACTGTACTTTGTACTCTATACATAACTAGAACAAATTATCTCTATTATATGAACTCTTTGCTTTTCTTCTTAGGTAACTTTCTCTGAGAAATTGGGCTATTAAAAGTACAACCCTTTTCAACTCCATTTATTATCCGCCGTGTGGGTTAGTTGCGTGGAACAAACAGACAAACTACGAGATGGTTGGTATAGGCTCTGTTGATGTTTGTACTGCGGCAGCCTTAGCAACGGAGTATGCCACGGTACTCCAGAGTATGTACAATGATCACCATTGGAGTTACTAGTATAATACTTGCAATTATATATTGCATACGAACAATATCGTCAGCTACGACCGACGCGACCTAATTCTAACTATGTACATAAAAAACACTATTAGAAAAAGCAGATAACTGAGAATCTACCCTATACTCCTTGTAATTCGGTTGCTATCACTAGTTAGTTAAATTAACAGAGGACTGTGACGACTTATCCAAGATAGTATCATAATAAAGAGCAGGCTTAAAGATTCTTCCACTCAGAAGATCCAGACCGGCCTCCTGCCTCATAAGTTTTGGCTTTTCTGCACACTTTCGCCGCTTCCCGGCCCTCCTCTACCCACCATCTACGTCATACCCAAAGAACGTCTTAGTTCCTTCAATTTTCTTCACCACTCATTCGCCCTACCTGAAATTTCTCGCTTATTGACCCGTTTCCCCCTTCGTGCTCAATGATGGTAGTAGACCAGTGATTGGTACTGTGTATCAGCCAAACCCCTCTCCTCCCCCCACCTTTTCTTTCTAGGGTTTCGATTGGCTCAGAAACTCTGCCTGGAGTTGAGAGTGCGATCATTTTTTGGGCCCCCTTATGTGAGATGCGAGCCACAACCGCCGCTGTGGCCAGAACTTCATCCACCTCTAGTACCCAATCTTGTCGCCTTGTGTTCGAGGTAGACTGCTAAGTCCCGGAAACCCAAGGTTATCCTTTTCCTTTTACTGTACTAATGATTCTTATCCACTTGTGACTCGACATTTTGGAAGATCGTCTACCTCATCCAACGTTGTCCCCATCAATCTCCGTTTAAGACCTGCTGAATCCATCGAGAATACCAACCCTTACGCATAGACTAGTTGTGCAATTTAGCGTGTTCTTTACCATCAAACATCAACAGCACTCGGCTACGGTGCTAGTTAAATGTGATAGCACTCGGGATACTAGAGTGCAATTCTTCTAGGCTGATTAGTGCGGTTGGAGAAGCCCCCAGGAAAGTGATCCACTGCTGGACGTTCCCATTAGGAAATCCGATTCATCTCGACATGGCAAGCGGGCTTTCCAACTAATTTGAGCACCCGAGCGTTATTGGAAAAGCAGGTGAAAGAACGTTGTGTATGTGAAGGAAATATGTCTGCTATGACGGGTCCGAGATCACCTACTTCTCCATGGCCTCAGGAGCCACCAAACCTACAAATTACAGGTCACCCTACCTCAGCAGCAATTTTTTCGTTGTGTGACTCTCATCAGTCTCCGCTCAACTCCAGCATTAGTCCTCGCAATGCAGTCCCAGAACGTTCGGGTCCTAATTATTTCTCTATCAGCGTAGAGAGTTCCACCACCCCGAGAAAGACTGGTGATACGCTCTCTTATACCCAGTCCTCAATTTCTAGTCCGAAACCGCACTTATTACCCACGAAGGCTGCGCTCGAAGATTTTGCGAATCATATAGGAACTGGCTCAACCGTTGACGAACGCAGTGCGTCTGCGATCTACAGACGCTCTTTAAGCCGTGCCTTGCCGAAAAAGGATTCTATTCCTAACCGATCCAACGCTTCTCCGAACGTAACCTCTGAAAATGGTCGCGCCGTTGCAGTTGAACGCTGTGCTGAGTTACTCGAATCCTCACCCAATGATGTCATGCTCTTAGATGTGCGGCCATATGCGCACTTTGCGAAAGGGAGCATCAAGGGATCATTGAATCTCTGCATACCAACGACTTTATTGAAGCGCCCTTCGTTTGATACACAAAAGTTGGCAAATACTTTCACAAACCACGTGGACAAGATAAACTTTGCGAGGTGGAAATATTGCCGTTATATCATCGTCTATGATGCAGGGACTTCTGACATGAAGGATGCGGGGCCTTTAACCTATGTGCTGAAAAAGTTTACGACCGAAGGATGGAATGGGGATGGACTGATACTTAGGGGTGGGTTCGACTCATTTTCGAACCGATTTCCGGCTCTCCTGCAACAGAAAAGTTCGCCTGCAAAACCGTCAAAAAAGCCAACTTCAATGCATATAGACCTACCATCTGTTGCCCCGATTGCTGGGGGCTGTGCGTTGCCTGATTCCTCACGTCCTACAATCCCCTTTTTTGGGAACATCAGGCAGCACATGGATCTTCTTGGTGGTGTCGGACAGATTCCTCTCCAGCTGCCCGAGAATCTGACAGAATCGTTGAGGCAGTCACTACCACCTTGGCTGCGGGAGGCAACAGATCCAGCAGACCAAGGCCGTGGTGTTTCAGAGAAATTCTTAGAACTCGAGAAGAAAGAACTAGAACGCATGAAACAAGCCCTGACTTATGACAAGTCTTCCGACACTTCAGCAGCCGGTGTTTTCCCAGAGAAATTCCGTGTCGCAGGTATAGAGAAAGGCACAAAGAACAGATATAACGACATTTATCCCTTTGACCACTCCCGAGTGAAGTTGCAGGATGTGCCGCCTGGAGGGTGTGATTACGTAAATGCAAACTTCATGAAAGCAGAGTATGGCAATAAATGCTACATAGCTACTCAAGCCCCTGTGCCCGATACATTTATTGTGAGTTCCACCGATTCCCCAGCATTTAGTCTAGGCTATGCTCGTTCTTTGCAGACCCTTCTATCAGCCCTGATATTGATTTTGCTTACGATGTCTCCAGGATTTCTGGCGTGTCATCTGGGAACAAGATGTCAGGCTCGTTGTTTCGTTGACTGCAGAGTTCGAAAGAGGCCAGATTAAATGCCACCCATATTGGGAGTCTGGGAAATATGGGCCTCTTCAGGTTAACAACTTTTCCCAGAAATACCTCGATATCGATTCTCCAGATTCGCAGCAAGTCGGTTCTTCATTCAAAACAAAGGAGGATTCCAGTAAACCTTACATAATTGTACGGCATTTTGGTTTGTCGCATTCGGCTTTTCCATTTCAGCCACTACGTGAAGTGACGCAGTTGCAATATCCATGTTGGCCAGATTTTGGCACCACCTCACAGCCTGCCCATCTACTTAAGCTGATTGAACAGTGTGATAAAGTCAGAAGTGCAGCTCCCGCTCGTGACGTAGGAGCAACTGGGCGGAGGCCAGTGTTGGTCCACTGCAGTGCGGGGTGTGGCCGTACGGGGACCTTCTGTACCGTTGATAGTGTGCTGGACATGCTAAAGCGAACACCCGCAGAAGATACAGCACACTCGCGGAACTCTCAAATGGTTGATAATTTCCACCACGACTGCGCGTACGATGGAAAACTGGACCTCATTGCCAAAACCGTAGCTGACTTTCGTACACAAAGACCTAGTATGGTCCAGAACTTGAGTCAGTTCGTCCTGTGCTACGAGAGCGTTCTAGAGTGGTTCGTTTCTCGGATGGAAAATGATGGAAAATAAACGCTTGGGACAGTACTAGTTACAAAGCTGGTCGCCTCACTCAAGTGTCGGACCTTTGGCTCGTCAGGCACGGTCTTGTTGGTTATGCCTGCTGTTCAGCATCTACACTTGTCTGGTCTCACTTCATATATGGCATGTATACTTAGACGCATTCTTGGGTTTTGGCAGGGCACTTTATCTTGACTTGCCCCTCTACTTATTTCTTTGGGGATTAAGTCTTGTTCGGTCTATCATGGAATTTGCTAAACAATTGGCTATTTACTCGTGTCACTCTGGCGAATTCATGGTCTCCCGTGACTGTACGCCGGAGAAAGACGGCGGGCCACTCTCTTCCATGTTTAAACTAGAGATATCTGAGGTGTGATGGAATGGCAACGAAGGGTACATGATGTAGAAATTGTTTTAGGAGCATGGGATCTGTTCCTTGTGTGATATGAGAATAAAAATACACTGTACCTGAGGAAAAGCCCAGTATGAGCAAAATAAGAACATAGGCTCCGAAATCAAAAAGCCAAAGACCGCAACCTAAAAAATGTAAAATGAGTTTTTGCGTCCACTAAGAAGGTGGTATGGGTTTGGATATATCTAGGCATCATCAACTTCTGGATGGCTGCCTCATCCATCAAGATAATTTCGGAGTGGATCGCTATAGTTACTGGACGCTCAGGCAACCATATCTGGCGGTCGGCGACTGCCTGACTGACAGCTTCCAAATCGATCCCCACTTGCTCCTACTCACATCCGTGCTGATAATGAAAGAACCTCCTCATTTTGAGGCGGCAGATTAGTCTGCTTTCACTGGAAGGCCTAACAGATCTGCATCATTGCTCGTATATTTGCAAGCGCCAGATTCCACCAGCAAGCTTCAAACTAGAGATATTCCTCTGCTTGTTCCTTCCATCATCAATTACTTAAGGGCCTTCTGAACGAGTCATTGAAACCGGTGCCATGCTTCTAAAACTCCCCACAGAACTGATACAACTTGTTTTTCTATACTCAACTACACCAGCCTTTCTGCAGGCAGCTTTCGCTTGTCGCACGCTCTATGCCATTGCCTCCAACTGCCGGGAGATTCTATTGCATCATCTGTACCAAACCCCAGGGGTGAATGAGGATCTTCTACCTGCCGACTCAAAGCAATTGTTCCGGGTGCTCCAAAAACGTGCGTCCCAGCAACTATATGGTGCCCAGTTCACTGCAAGTTGCACTCAGTTCCACTTTGGTTCGTTGGTCCTAGATGTCAAAGCGTCATCGCTGGCCCCCTCTGAGCACCAGATCTTTGCGCTTGTCTACAAAGGACATGAGGACATTCAGATTTTCCGCACCGAGAATGGCCAGCTTCAGCTTAAAGCTTGCTTGAAACCACACCGACTTCAGCCAGGAGTAGTCGAGGTTCTAAGGACAGCCTTCGATGCAGATGATGGTCTCTATGTCCTACAACGCTTTACACCTACGACTGAAGAAAGTCCAGACTCGGAGCATCCGTTCATCAAACAAGCATTCAAATCTTATATTAGGGGGCAGGTCTATCTCATTCGATATTCCCTCCAATCTCGCCATGACCCCGTTCGCGTCTGTACGTTTCCAGACCATGCTGAGTATGAGCCTCTGGCTCTTGCCGCTGCCCATCGAGATTCTTTTGCAATTTCCTGGCAGCATTCCCGCGAAAGTGAGGAATATGAAGTAGTGCTTTATAATGCACAGAGCGCATCTAGCGCCCACAGCCTACCAAGCGTAATAGGTTCGTTTCCCAGTTCTATTATTAACTTACATTAGCAGAGATAGATCCTGACCAAGTTCCAGATGTTGCCTACGATTCCTGTGTCCTTGTAGACTGGACCAAACAGCGTCAAAATGATGACATACATTTCCATGCAAGAATAGCCAGTTCCCGTTTCAATTGTGAGAAAGGACCTGTGATAGAGCTTTCATTCAACGATAGATCAACCCAAATACTCTATTACCACCGGGCCCAAACTTTATATGGGTCATTCCAAAATATCCAAAGAATCAATATGACTTCTTTCCCGGTCCAGCCTACATTATATCAGAACTCATCCCTAGTGCAGTTCTCGGGTTCTTTGCGTCTGCTCTTCTCAATCGCCATTCCCTTTTATGGAACACATGCAACGCGAGTGGAGGAAAACGGCCATTCCAAATGTCAGTGGAAATACCTTGCCTTCGGAGTAGCCACTCATCGCACAGAAGATTGGACTGTCGCATGCTTGTTGAAATCCGAAGCATTCTGCTCATCTGAACATTGTGGGCATGTTCTGAACCTCGAACGCGGGCGACGCTTTCTTAACTGGACAGTAGTTGCACGACTTTGGGGCTTTCAGGATTCGAGTAATTCCCTCGGTTGTAAAGTCGCTACTTCAAAACATGGCACACGGATTGCTGTCGCTAACTGGAATGTCTTGTACATCTGGGCATTGCAGCCCAGTGCACTCATCGAACAAAATGCCAACAGATATTATCCGTCCTTGCTGCAGTCCCCAGGTTCGGCAATGGTCGAACTACGACCACTTGTTATCCCACTAGATGCAGTCTGCTTCAAACTACGTTTCACAGATGCGGAAGACGAATTGTTGGCTATCACAGACCGAGGGTTGATGTATTGGAATATTGGCCCGCTAGGAAGAGGCCAAAGAATCGCTGAAGAGCTACCCGCTTAGATGGGTGATTTGGGATGATATAAGCACGTCAGGGTTGTGGAAAAGCATAGCAGGGGTCTTTGATGTTCTCGGATCACATGCTATGGTATGTACCTGATCCTACAGTGCGAGTGTGAATGGGTCATGGTATCGACGAGCAGGGCACTCATGTATTAGCTGCGATATTGTCAAAAATATCCGTTAGGGGCAGAGAAGTTCTACAGTTTATGTTCCTATGAGATAATCCAACTGCCGCACATTAATCCTTGGTGTACTGTACTACCTGACAAGCAGTTTATTTCAAAGGTAGAAAGATATCTAACCTTCGACGTCTGCTAACTAGTTAAACACTATGGTACTTACGTAATAATGGCAAGGACCACCGTAGCAGAGGTATACTTTTCTCCCCTTTACAAAGTATACTTTCAACACGTAAGCGTCATGGGCAAAAGAAGCGATTTTGGGATGCATGTTCTCCAAGAAAGTCCATCGCCCACACACAAGAGGCTACCTACAATAAATGCATGACTATCCCATCTTCGCTTTCTTCCCAGTACTGATCAACGACTCTCGATGTAGCAGCGAAGATTGTTGAATAAGGCAATGAATTAAGGGTATCGCTTCGAGGATCATAGGATTCCGAAATAAATTAACGTCTTAGTCAACTTACCACTCGGAGTTCTAGGATCTTCGGGGTATCTACTAGAAATAGTACGCGTGTCAAAGATTGCATATGGGTTTGTCCTAGGACCTTACGTGGTATTCTCCGATTTGCTTTGACAGTTTTGGTCTGATCGTTCTCACTCTTTTCCACTCCCCCCCCCCTCTCTTTTGATGACAAGTTCCCAGGACAAATAATAGCGACTATGAGTGAATGGTGGGGGAGGACCGGCCAAAAAGATCATTGTTCTTCTCCGCTACCAGACATAGCCAGAAATGTGATGATGAGGAAAACCCACCAATACCTGGTAGGATGCAAGATATGTCAGCCTATTCTTGGTAGAAGAGTAAATCTAAAATAGAAAAAGCGCATACTTTTGAAAGAAAGTTTTCTCAGCGACATCTTCGAGGTTTGTGCCATCTGGACTGACAACAACAGGGCGATTAAGATGCGGCCGGGGTCCAGCTTCGAGGGGGATGAGTTTCATAATAGGGCTTGTTGTGTTTGGTGCAATGGTAGACTCGAGCGATGATAATGTTAAGGCCACATGGTACACTTTCTTAGAAGAATCGAGATAAAGCTGAAGCATTGGCCTCTGTCCATCACTTCCTGCGACGGCAGGCCAAGACGTGAGAGTCCCGCTCCATTGTTTCGGGTCGATCCCGTTGGAGGAATATAGCCCAACACGCACTAGGTTTGGTGACTCAGTGTGCACCGCAATTGGAGGTGAGTAGGATATCACGTTGGACTCTAAAGAGGTTGGATCGTAGGAGACGCGGGCGAAGAGCGAAGGTTCAGAGGATGTTATGGGCCAATAGAGAATATCTGTTGAGACGCGTTGAGAAGGGTGTAGAGTAGTAGCCTGAGCGTATGAGTTGATGACAGAAAGTATCGAAATTATGACGATGGATGGGCGCATGTTGAGGAGATCAATGATAACAGGAGGCGGAAGTAGAGGCTGTCGTGGGCGTTGTTGCAAGTGGTTGAAGTACAAGTATGTATGTATCCACTTCTGTAAAAAAAAAAAATAAGCCTTGCGGTATGACCTGTACTGAAAGTACAGAAAGAGAAAGGGCCCATCTAATACTCCGTACATGTACTTACTGTATCTACAATACAAGCGGTAGGGTACCATGTGTACTGTAATACCAGTTATAAGAGGATACATGCAGTATTGTATGTACAGCACATAGGTATGGGTGTATGTATGTACTTACTTAATACCTACTTACTGCGGTGATATTAGTCAGCCGAGTGAGGTTTCATTCTGCCTTCGATAGCTTCAGATTAAGATAAGAACAACTACTTACACAAGATGAGAAAGCATTAGATTTCCATCAATTCTATTCCAAGAAGAGCTTTTAATCAGTCTAGTCTCACTTTCCAGTCATATTTCTTTACGTTTTGATCGATTCTAATTCATTTCCTTTACATTACCTACAAAGTAAGTGTATTCCATATAACGTTACTAGTAAGAGGCTCAGCCACCTCTGTATTCTTTATAATCCTTAATCCTGATATCTCAACAACTACTCCATAGAGATGGTAGCTAACTAAAATCCAATATTTAGACTAATATACCGCTATAGATATATATACCAAACACAGAATACTCCGTATATTATAATCTATAGATTATCAGGTATTATAGATTACAGTGTATTTTTTCGTAATTTATATATTATGGTGTCTAGGGCCTTGATATAAGGGTGGGGTGTGTGAAAATAGTGTGATATTAGAGAAATGGCTTATCCTCGCGATGACACCGGGTTATATCTGCTTTGCCTTAAGGTTCCGTATAACTCCCGCGAGTGTGCCAGGGTGTGGTTGCAGGTCAGTTGAGGTCGTTCTGTAGGCGATGCAAGCCGAAATTCTTAGTAACAAGGTTTAGATCATGTGATTCTCAAATTATACAATACCAAAATTTCAAATTGCATAATCTCTTTCAATAATCTACAAAATCTATTCTATATATTAAGTAGTTTCGAAGTACTTAAAAACTATTTAATATATAGAATAGATTTTGTAAATTAAATAATAATAATAAAGGCAGATTAGAATTTCATTACAATACCTTTTAACTTACAGTAATTTATAAGGTCATGCAAGTTGTTTCCTGCTTATTAATAGCCTTGGCCGTCACGTGTAAAGGGGTCAACTTGCGTGAGTTGTACCTCGAGCTCGTGTGGGCTGTGTACACGCGAGGGTTAAAGAGTTTGCTCGCGGGATGCTTACTCAGCACCCGCGAGGGCCAAGTCCCTTCCCTTACACTTGAAAAGGGGCTTTTAAAGATATTTAAAAATATATATGCTGCCATGGCTAACTGTTAGGATTATAAACAGTGCCAATTTCCATGGAATAGAGGTGGCCGCGCTGCTTACATGGCCAAGTGTAAGAGATATCGCCAGGGCCCGATATTCTACAAGACCAAAAGATCATATAATTCTGAATCGACGATTCAAAATGCCCTGGTCAGACCTATATAGTTACACCAAGCTTCTACCAGTTATGTTACAATATATGGAGGTGTGCACCAAAAGTCCTGCCCATATGAGTCTTTAATCACGTGATATTTTAGACCAATAACACTTTGCACCTAGAAATATTCAAAAAGTTCTATTAGTCTAGTATCACGTGATTTAAAGACCCACCTGAAGTGGACTTATGGTGCACGCCTCCGTACATTTACCAGTAATGCCATTCCTACTAGTACTTAAGTAGCCTCATATCAATGCCAGCCGTGTATACCGCCTTTCTCTTAGGAGTACTCCGTCTATGCCTTTACAATGACCATTAGAGTCCATAATCTAGAGGAATTCCTTTTATCTCTCAGTGGTTTTACTACAAGAATACTGTACATACATAATACTTCAGGTATATATCAGGAATATCCGGCCCAAGACAATATTGGGCTAATTCGGTCCATTCGGAGCTTCAGTGGCTCCACAGCATTGTTCTGTTTCTCCACATTAAGTTGGCCTGAAGGGTCACGTTAACAACTTCTTTGGTTCATTCCCCACAGTGTGCTTGGTTAGATTTTTGGGATGATCCCCAGTATACTCCGGAGTCCGGAGTATGCTGTCATACTAGGTACGTACTATAATTCATTCCCTCGTTTAAGCTTCAGCGGTCTTTTACTCAGTACACCTTCGTTGTTTTGCTCCTCTTCCCTTCTACACACATATATATATATCAAAATTGAACTACAGGAAATCAAAGGAAGAGAAAGGGCACCAAAAAGGAAAAAAAGGTGAAAAAAGTAAAGTAAAAATAAAGCAAAAAGGCTGTAAGAACTACTTTCATCCTCTCCTCTCTATATCTTTCCTAGTCTCACTCCCTGAAGCGCCACTCTTTTTTTTTTTCAGAAAAGGAAACAAGGGGAGAAACTTTTCCTGGTGAGCTCAACAAGCCTCCACAACCTGGCTCATCTGACGCCTCTGGTTAGGAAATTACTTTTGTCTTTGTCACATACTCAATATTTTTCTTTTTCATACCGCCACTTTCCTCTCTCACCATGTCCTCCATAGCACCTTCGATGCCTTACCGCCGACCATCGCGACAGGGCTCTAGACAGGCATCTAGAGATAGCCGAGACGACATTCACTTCCACATAGACCACTACATCGGTATCGACGTTGGGACCGGCAGTGCCCGTGCTTGTATCATCGACGGCAAAGGGGATATTGTTGGTTTGGCATCGGAGAATATTGGCCTTTGGCAGCCACAACAGGGATACTATGTCAGCTCTTTCCCCTCCCATTTTACCTTTATTGATTTTTCCTTTTACCCCCCTCCCCTCCCTCTGCCTTTTAATTTCTCTTGCCGCATGCTTTATACTATCAATCCCTAACTTATGACCTATGGTTTTTATTAGGAGCAATCTACAAATGACATATGGAGGTGTATATGTGTTGCTGTCCAGCGCGCCATTAGCCAGCACAACATCGACCCGGAAACCGTACGTGGGATTGGCTTTGATGCAACATGTTCGTTGTCGGTGTTCTCCAACGTTACCGACGAACCCATATCTGTGACGGGGCCTAATTTCGATTCGGATCGTAATGTCATCCTTTGGCTAGATCATCGCCCGGTAGAGGAGACAGAAAAGGTCAACGCTACTAATCATAACCTGCTTCGTTACGTTGGTGGGAAAATGTCCATTGAAATGGAGATTCCCAAGGTCCTGTGGCTGAAAAATCACATGCCCAAAGAACTGTTCGACCAGTGCAAGTTCTATGATCTGGCGGATGCACTGACCCACATCGCTACTGGCAACGAGAAGAGAAGCTTCTGTAGCGTTGTTTGTAAGCAAGGCTACGTCCCTGTCGGGGTGGATGGAAGTGTCAAAGGTTGGCAAGAAGATTTTTTGGCCGAAATAGGCCTTGGGGAACTCACTCAAGAGAACTTCAAGCGGATGGGAGGTGTTGATGGGGTGGTGAGCCTTTTTCTTTGCTTCAGGTTTCTGCTGGATCATGTAATTTTATTGATGTTGACTGCTGACTGCTTCAGAACGGTGATTACCTCAGTGCTGGAGAACTGGCTGGAACTCTTTGTGAAAAGGCGGCTTCTGAACTGGGGTTACCCTCTGGTATTGCTATAGGGAGTGGAGTCATCGACGCGTATGCAGGTTGGGTTGGTACTGTTGGTGCTAAAGTCGACCTTGGATCTGAACAGCTAAGCTCGAATGCCGCGAAGAACGATAAGACGCAAGCCTTTTCACGCCTAGCAGCCGTTGCCGGTACCTCGACCTGCCATCTTGCAATGTCTCCAAACCCTGTATTTGTCCCTGGCGTTTGGGGCCCCTATCGTGACACTATTCAACCGGGATATTGGATGGCTGAAGGCGGGCAGTCCGCGACTGGGGAGCTCCTTAAATACGTCATTGAGACTCACCCAGCCTTCAACCAGGCGGTCTCGATCGCTGAATCCTACAATGCCAATATTTACGAATACTTGAACGAACACTTGAAGGAAATGGCTCACGAACAGCAAGCCCCAAGTGTGGCTTATCTGGCACGTCACTTTTTCTTCTACGGCGATCTATGGGGTAACCGTTCTCCGATTGCAGACTCGGGAATGACTGGCTCCGTGATTGGCCTAACATGTAATAAGTCTGTCGATGGGCTCGCTATCTATTACTATGCCACGCTCGAGTTTATCGCTTTGCAGACGCGCCACATCGTTGAGACCATGAACAAGGCTGGTCATAGCCTTACCTCTATCTTCATGTCGGGATCTCAGTGTCAGAATGAGATCTTGGTTGGCCTCATCGCGTCGGCCTGTGGCATGCCTGTCCTTACCCCCCGGTACATCCACGCTGCCGTCTGCCATGGTGCAGCTATGTTGGGTGCCAAGGCTGCCAGTGCTGATGCTGACGGCAAAACAGAAGATCTATGGGAGATAATGGATCGGATGAGTAAGCCCGGGAAGAAAGTTGTTCCGACAGACAATGCGACTGAGAAGGCCTTGCTTGATGTCAAATACAAGGTATTCCTAGAGCAATGTTATAAGCAACAAGAGTATCGGAGTCTTGTTGACAACGCTGTGAGCTCATGGAAGACTACTTGAAGCTGGCCAACAAGTTCAACGGCCACTTGTGGTGCATTTATTACCTCTTCCGGTGACCTTTTTAAAAATACTGCTTAATCCAACTTCTCTCAAGGTACACTCAGTCCCTCCAAGTGGCTTACTGCATTGTGGGGATCGATCAATGAACATAAATGTGGTATCGTTATAGGTATAGCTATTTCGGGTTATAGTTACAGCTCAAAGCGCGATTGAAATGAACCCTCGAGTTGCTTTCACATAGGTAAATATCCTTTGGTCTAATAAAGTAGTGAACTAGAAGGGGTCCTTGTAAAACTTAGGATCAATTTCTGTGAACGCGGAACATCTACGTTGAAAGTAAATACTTTACATAATTCAAGCGTCAAGGTTCAATCAAACGGATATCTGCATCCCTCAGAGCCCTGCGAAACAGCGCATTTGTTCACTTGAAGGAATTGCAATTAATAGGCCATACCACTCCTTGATCTATCGAGCGTGAAATGTCTGGGAGGTGCCAAGCGCCAACGTGTCGAGGCGGTCGACACCCATGACATCCATGTTGCTGTAGCCAGACAAGTAAAACCCAATCACAACGACAAGATATGTAAGGACAAGAATAGATCCTTTGAAGTAGTTGCTCTTTCCTTCACCGTAGACATACGACAAGAGAAAGACACAAAGTATTACTGAAACCATGTCCCATTGCGGGAAAATAAGGCTAGGAGCAATTTAGTTTCCCGTTAGATTTCTGATCCTTTCCTAGCAGTTTCAGGGATAGAGTTGAACATACTTGAAGGTGTGAGTTAGAAGTTCTGCTGGATCAATTAAGCGTTCATAAATAGCGCTGAACAGTACCAGGGCTGGAATCTGCAGAAGGCAAACCTGCAGGGCGTAGGCTGAGCCGATCTCCATCGACAAGGCTATGTTGCCATTCATGGCGAAAGAGATGGCGTTCTATAGTATTAGAAGTGAGCCATTGCATTTATTGAATTTGGAGTTGACCGATCAGACTTACCAAGAACTCCGTCGTGTTGGGGACTAGAGCAAATAGTGTAATTCCAAGGAACTTTTCATCAATATCAACACTCTCCAGCACCACATCTACGGTGTTCACAAGAATTTCAGCAATAATTGCATAGAAAACGGTGGCTCCTAGAAGAATGATCGAGCTCCTAGCCTTGCTCCAGTTTGGTGCATCATGCCCGCCACTGGTTTGGCCGTTCTCGAGTCCAATATCATCAAGCTCCTCTACTACTGCCTTGATTGGGTCAGTGGATCCCCTGTTACTATGGCGTGCTGGGTTCTGTTGAACGGATAATTTCCGGGTTCGAGCTGCATCGCGGGCAGCAACTGCTGCAGCAGTTGCTGCAACTTCTGTTACCTGACGCATCAGGTGCTCATTCTCTTCACCCGACAACCCCCCAAAACGGCTAAATCTCGAGTAATCCTCATCGCCCTCCCCATGCGGAGGGACAAGATAGGGCGTTTTCGTATCACGCACCGAGCTTGACTCCGGCTGTTCAGCGCCGGACTCGATTGAATTTTCGGACAAGCCGATATGCTTCAGGGATTGCCCTAGAATACGTTTGTACAATTGAGAATCCCTAACGGACCCCTTTGAACCTGGACCAGAGTTTGCACCAGCAGCCGCTGGTGGCCCGCTATGGAGGAGGTGCCTTGGCTCGTAAGGACCGTGCTCCTGGACGACAGCCGCGGCTTTCTTCTCCTCGATTTCTGTAGCCCATATGAGTGCAGCGTGGGTTCTAAGCGTAAACCATAAACCAATGATATACGATAGAAACAGAAATAAAGCCGCAAACCATGAATAAGGCTTTACAGCCTTTCGAAAGAAGCTATCATTAACAGCAGGGACCTGAGAAAAGTAACAACGACGGCAATCGCTCCCGCCCGCATCTATAGTGTTGAAGCAGGGGCGGCAGTTTAATTCATGCTGATTGCCAGATGAGAAACAGTTTCCAAGCGAGTGAGTTGGGCGGAAACTTACGCTGCCATATATTTGATAGAACAGAGTGGGCCCGAAGGCAGCAATCACAGCGAACATAAGCATCGTAGAGGTAACACCGGCGGATTTAACATTAAACCTCTGTGTTTTACGCTTGATGGCTCCAAAGCACATAGATAATCCAGGGAGAAACAGGATGCCTGCGAAGATACTACCTATGATACTACCTTCAACAAGCTGGCCTTTACCCTCGGTTAAAGCAACGCAGTAGAGGTAGACTTCGACCACCGTTGAAAAGAAAGCGTTAACTGCAGCACCCATACCCATTGAGGATTGTGCGGAGATCGAAGCAACGGCCTGTCCAATGAAATAAGCCAGTGGGATGATGGAAACAAGGGCTAGGGTGAAAATTAAACCCGGGTGAGTCAAGGAGTTTTGAACACCTAGAGTTTTTTCCAAGAAGAAGTAGTCAAAAATCACAAACAGTACAACGCCGAGAAGATTGATCAAGAAGATGTTGGTGCCGCCAACCGTGTATTTCCAGTATCTTAATCCGGCGGCACGATAGGTGCATAAAAGAATAGATGAAGAGGAGTTTGGGCTCAGCCGTGTATATGAGGTATCGGAATGGTATGAAAGGGCGAGGGGATGGCGACGAAGATGATCAAATAATATAATGGTCACGCGTCCCATTGGAATCCAGAAGACCAGCAGCCAGCAGAGGAGAGATACTAATAGCATTAAAGGTCCAACGAGGAAATAAAAGAAGACAAAGAACACGACACGACCAAGGGTCCACTCGCCACGCCCAAACAAACGTCTTTTATGGCGACCTAGAGGACTATCGCGTGAGCTGGCTCTTTGTGTCCGTCCTAGCAGACTGTCTTGTTCACTGGCCGAATCAATGCTATTTCTTCTTCTGCCCACGAGGGATCGGCCGCGGCGAGGGCCAAAGAACAGCCTTCCATGTTCTAGGTCACCGTTTTGCCATTGTTCATACTCGCTAATGCTGCGGCCTTCGCCTTCATCTTCCTCTGCGTAATTCTCATCGGTGTCAAGACGAACAAATGATCCGAACGGGTATATTAAGTACCAAGAGAGGCCGGAGAAGACTTTCCCATATTCCACAGCACTTGGAGAGTACGCGAAGATGAAGCAGGCAACGGAACCAACAAGCGCAGCCAAAGCAAGCCACCACCCGAAGAATGCCGTCCACAATAAGTTTGTTAGGAACAGCATGGTCCCCACTCGACCACCAGGTGACGAATGAATATCACCTTCGGCGGTCTTCTCCACTGAACGACTCTTTTTGTATAGGGCAGGTTTCCATAGCCTTATTCCAAAAGGATGCGTTTCATTAATAGCCTGCTGCCGATCCTTCAATGTAAAGCTTTCCGCATCGCTGACGTCCTCCTCGTTATTATCGTTACTATTTTGGCTTCCACCCTCAGAGTGCTGCGAAGAGGTGCCATTTCCGGCTCCTTCCAAGCTAGATGCTGGTAGAACGGTGGTGTCATTGTCATTATCCTCAGGATCTGTTCGTGTCAGAGGACTAATGCGAGCATTGATTCTTCGCCTGAGGCTCGAGCTTTGCTTTCGCAAGGGGCGCATCCTTGGTGAATTCTGAGGATTCGTAGCCTGTTGCTTAGCGATGTCTTCCTCAACTTCTTGGACATCATCATCAGTAGAGAACTCCTGACCCTTATGGGGTATCGTCCGCTTAGAAGACATGCGACGTGTGACGGATGGTTTCCTTGGTTTATCGGATTGGGTTACCGTTGATGGCGATTGAGACGGAGGCATGCGGCTCGAGCTCTCCGGTCGACTTTCGTCTGGGCGTGAATCAGGTTCCTCCCTTTCTGAGGGTTCCAAAGTACCTACAAGAAATATGTGAGTGATCTAAGTTAGTAGCCCCAGCGACCATCACTAGAACGCACCATAGGTTCTTCGTTGCTGTCCCGTAACCCTTGACTGGCGGACGGTTCCAAACAGCATATTTTCATTGCTTAGATTTAACGGCAACCGCAGAGACGTTTCTGGTTGAAACGCAGGGGAGGGATTACCATCTCCTCCTTGATCTCCAGACATGGTATCGTTTATTGCTCTTTATTTTTTCATAGGAGTGGTTGATTTTGTGAAATTTATCAGGTGTAATATTTAGGAGGCTGGGGAAAGCGGAAGGGTAGCAGCCTGCTAAAAGAACGGCAGTGAAATGGAAAGATAAAATAAGAATAAAAAATAAATAAAAAATGTTAAGAAAAAATTAAGAAAAAATTAAGAAAAAATAAGAAGAAAAAGAGAGGAGCAAAGTGAAGGGAAAACAGTTCACGAACACAAATTCGTAGAGAGAAAGGGAGAAAGATTCTGGGGGCGGAAAAAGAAGTCGACCAAATGTCCGGCGCTCAATAGAAAAAGAGACAATATCATCTGATGCCTGTCAAGAAACCAGAAAACATGTTGCAATCAGTGCCAAAAATGGGTTTAGAGGTAGGCTACCAGATAAATGGGCGTTAAAGGGAAGCTCTATGAAGCTAGTTTCGATCATGAGATAAGACAAGAATTCCCAGGTTCATCCCCGCAAGTCAGCTGAGACTTCGACTGTAGGTCTCAGACCTCGTCTAAGTGATGAAGAGCAGGCGGACGATTTCCTAATTGATTATTCCACAAGTGTGTAGCTGTTAAGATACGCTTTGACAGTTCAAGATGACTCCCTATACTTCCAAGTTTTGACCTTCTTCACTTACTCTCTTACGAAACGTACCACACTGTAAGGCCGGAATGATCATTAGATAGCGGGTAGCAAGGACCCACAAACACCAATCAAAGCTTTCTTTTGTACCCAGCCGCCACCGTAATTTACTCCGTAGTTACTAATAGGTATGTACCACTCAGGTAGCGTATGTACCTAAGTACGGAGTACCGTACGGCGTATAGTGGACCTTGCCCAAGTACTGCCTGGTAGTATTGTGTGGACTGGTAGCCTTAGGCAGAAACTTGTGGCTGACTGAGGCTCCGTGGCTAGTGCTCAAGCTACGTACCTCTTGCTCCCCGGCAACATCCACCACCTAACTTAACTATTGGGCGACAGCTCTTCATCCTTCCATCCAGAGTGCTCGTCTGCTTTTCTTCCCGTGGTCAGATTTTTATATCACATACAATTCTCTCTGTGCCACAGTGCGTTCCGAAATCTCATATTCAAGATCTTTGGCTTCGTAAAACCAGTTTGATACCGAAGGAGCGTCATCACTCTATTGCCACAATGGCGCTCGATAATTACTATCACAATAAAATCGAGAGCATGAAGCTCGAGATAATTCAAGGGCAAGCGGTGCTACGGAGATTAGAAGCACAGCGTAATGATTATAACTCGAGGGTGCGGTTACTTCGGGAGGAACTGGGGTTACTGCAACAGCCTGGCTCCTACGTCGGCGAGGTGGTCAAGGTGATGAGTACCAAAAAGGTACTCGTCAAAGTACATCCGGAAGGGAAATATGGTGAGTTTGATGCCGGCCTTTGCCTCGAATTTGTCATCCTGTAGCTGACTCGTTTGGCGTGCATCCAGTGGTGGATATTGCAGATGGTGTCGACATCAGCAAGCTGACTGTAGGCAAACGAGTCGCCCTACTTTCCGACTCTTACAAATTGGAAAAGATGCTACCCTCGTCCGTTGACCCTCTTGTGTCTCTTATGATGGTTGAGAAGGTTCCGGACAGCACGTACGACATGATCGGTGGTCTCGATCAACAAATCAAGGAAATCAAAGAAGTTATCGAACTTGGCCTGAAACATCCGGAACTGTTTGAATCTCTTGGTATCGCGCAACCGAAAGGTGTTCTTCTGTATGGGCCGCCGGGAACTGGTAAAACACTGCTTGCTCGAGCAGTTGCCCACCATACGGATTGCCGATTCATTAGGGTCAGCGGTTCGGAATTAGTGCAGAAGTATATTGGTGAAGGTAGCCGTATGGTGCGCGAGCTATTTGTCATGGCTCGGGAGCACGCGCCGAGCATCATCTTCATGGATGAGATAGACAGCATTGGATCCAGCCGTATAGACTCAGCAGGCTCAGGCGATTCGGAGGTGCAGCGTACGATGTTGGAACTGCTCAATCAGCTGGACGGATTCGAACCTACAAAGAATATCAAAATTATCATGGCTACGAACCGGCTGGATATCCTCGATCCAGCCTTGTTGCGTCCGGGACGGATTGACCGGAAAATTGAATTCCCTCCGCCATCGTAAGCATCCTTTCCCCAACTCTAGAGCATGTTCTCGGCAGAACGACTGGTAGTGTGTGTACAGATGCTAACTCACCTTTCTTATTGGCATTAGGGTCGAAGCTCGGGCTGATATTTTGCGAATTCACTCACGATCAATGAACCTTACGCGTGGTATCAATCTAACAAAGATTGCAGAAAAAATGAACGGATGTTCTGGTGCAGAGTTAAAGGGTGTATGCACCGAGGCAGGCATGTACGCTCTTCGAGAGAGGCGGGTGCATGTTACGCAAGAAGACTTTGATCTGGCCACCGCCAAGATTCTCAACAAGCATGACGACAAGGAGGTTGCTGTTTCCAAGCTTTTCAAGTAGATATAGCATGACTGAAGAATGAAAGCGGCTTGATAATTGATCTGAGCCTATCGCGCGAGCAAAAAGCATGTAACACAATATGCCACCTGCTACTATTGCTACCGTCCTGATTCTATTGAACGAGTACTCATTCAGCAAAGTAGTCCTACTGGCTGTTTTGGATACTGAAAACAAGGGTTCCATCACACTCTTCTCAATCATTGGTGATATAGAGGCCAATCCAGTAAATCTCTACCCTTGTATCTAGTAGAGGTGGTTACCGGATGGCCTTCTCAACTTTCACCATATCTGATTTGGCCCATTACTGAGTAGTAATTGTGGACATGAGAATGTCTTCTGCGTCATGACAACCCTTACGCAAAAACAGAGAAACCTTAAGGAGGCAGCCTCACCTCACCTTTGGTGAGGCAGTTTTTTAGCTTTTTCGTTTCTATTACTATGTTCACCGCCTACTGAGACCGCAAGTTGTCTCGGAGAAGGCTGGATGAATCTTTGTTACTTATTACGACGAAGCCGACCCCCGGTCAAAAGAAATTTTTACATGTGTATACCAACAGCGACGCACTCAGTACTAACCCACAAGTGCTTGCTGAGTCTACTTAATTTACCTAATGGTACTGAGTACGGAGTATATATCTATCCTCTTATCTATCAAGATTGCTTACATTACGTTAATCTACTTAATCTACCGACATGTCTTCCTAGGCGATCTAGACTTATCGGGTTGGTTAGTTAATATTGATTATTGGCTTAAGATGCTCGAGATGCTCGAAATACTGAAAATACTCGAAAGTCATACTAATAAAGAGAGATATGTAAATTTACATTATGTATATTTAGTATTACTTTAGAAGGCTTAGTAAAAAGTAAGAGTAACTAATAATTAATGCTTAAATGCCAAGGCTTCAACAATAGATTTCATTTTGACCAGGTGGTTGATTAGTCCGCCGTACTTTTTCCCACCAAAGGCTTGGCACAATGGCAAAAGCCTTGAATGGAAGTGTGCCAAGATATCAAGACCAGCTCAGGCGAGCTGAATAGCCATTTAGTTGGGTTATTTATCAAGGATGATCTGCAAGGGATACCTTCTTTCCTTTTGGAATGCTAATTTCCTGTACGGTGCTCCGTAATTGGATCTTCATTAACCATATACTCTGTAAATCGTGGAGGATGAACAGAGCAGTCTCCAACTCTTGGTTGACTCTTGTTTGCTACCAGTGCGGATAGTTTAAGCACAGCGTCTTATAACTATGGTCGTGGTCATTTTTGTGCTTATTAATTGTCCATAGAAGAGCCCTCCTGTTGAAAGGTTGGGTCAACTTGGGGGTCGAGGTACGACTCAAGACCGTTAGTTATCTTTCCATTCAACAAATAGAAAACCGGGGCAAGGGGGAGAAGTTTTTACGAAGAACAAACCAATTAATTTATCTATATGAAGAACTGGACGATCGCTTTCTTGGGTGCTTCGGTTGACGCGTCGTGGGAAGAAGTTTGAAGTCCGCGTGACCAGCAGATCAGTTACCCCGTGCGGATCAGCCGATTATTGTCTCCATCCCATTTTCTCAACTATCCCATTCAAGATCTCGGCTCAAGTGGGGCAGTCCAGATCTGATGACTTTCAGTAGGGTGGATACTTCCAGACGGAAATAATCACAGAGTATAAACATCGGTAGGAACAAACTGTACGGATACCCATGTACAGTACTTGCTTGTATCAAACCCCCGGCCTCGTCACATCCGACCAGAAAGGTACCATTTCGTACTAGATATCCTTGCCATACCCAGAATTGAGACTGAACTTCATCCTTTCATGGTGGCTTCTCCAGTGAGTACCTCGGAACTGCCAAACCATTCGTTCAGGGGGGGTAGGGGGGGAAGATAAACCTAGGACCCCGAATACTTATCTACAGCTCATAATCAAAAGCAACTTTGTTTTCTATGCTGCTTTGTTTTTCGTTCGATAGTTCAATGTCTCCTGCAGCGCTGTATTACCCACCTTTTCCGGGATGAGCTCATGTCTCCCTCCCTGGCCCACACCGGCGGTTGTGATATTGGTTGGTCGGTGATTGATTGACACGTCTCCCCATTCCAGCACATTCATAATGTATTCCTCATATAAATCGACCCAGGTTACTCATTGAAGGGGAGACTTGTAATTTTCAATCAACAAATCCTCGGTTGTATGTTCCTCTTCATGCTATCCCCATCTAGACCTACAAAGCCAATCCGTCCACACATTTTAAACTTGTTCCATCGGTTTTCTAGAATTTAATTATCTACTTGCCTGGCCCACGAAATCATCGGCTTCCGGTCCGAGCGGACTCCCCCGGACTTGCTCTTTTAGTTATTTCCGGTTCAACTGTGTTTATTGCCCGGTGTGCTTTCTAGGTACTACTGCCGCTAACACCATATACTCGGTGTAGTTTAGTTTGTTCGTTCAACCCAATTTATCCGGCTTACGCTTTTCACGGTTACTCGCCATCGGACCCCCGTTACACTCTCATTGACTCTTTCTTGTCACTAGATGTTTTAGACATACCCATATCCAGATCCGCACATGTAAAGTCTCAGCCAGCTGTCACCTGCACCCCATTTCTGTCTATTCCAATAAGCGGCGCACTCCACCTTCCCGGCCCTTTAATTTTCGTTTGTATCGAACTATGGCCCAAGGAGAGTTGTGGTCTACACTAGTCACTGCAATAGACCCGGGAAATATCAGAGTTATGCCGGCCGTCCTGCAGTCAACTATCGATCTGTTAGAGACTGAACTGGCCAGGGCCAGGGCCGCGCTCAAAGAAATTCAGCCTGATACTGCACCCGTCTTGATACCCGGTGATGAACTTGCCGTTGGGGCGATTGCAGCTTATCGTCAAAATCTCATTGCACGAGCCTCAACCTTTTACTATGGCTCCCGCCGCCTGTCTCCCAAGGAGGTGGGACTAGTCCCTGTCATTCAAGAGGTACAGTCAGATGAAGAAGAGGATAAGGAGACACAGCAAAAACCTGAAAGTATTATTATTGTGACGCCTCCCAAGCAAGTTTCCCTCCTGGACGTTCTCTCAAACAGCTTGATTCTCGATCATATGGCTCCGTACCTTTCAGTCCCAACACTGTTTGCCCTAGCCTCAACGTCGCACGCTCTTCGTACCACGATTATAGAAACTCCGTATATCTTTCGGCATCTGGATCTGACCCAATGTCCTCGGCACTGGCTTCCTAGGAAGTTATTAAGGAACTCGGAAGCCCGGATTAGTAGCAATGAACGTCTGGAGAACTCCTCGACTGAGGATGCACCCTATTCGGTCCCTCATCAAAGAAGATTTGCTAGTCTGGGGCGGAGTTCTATCCTTCAAGATGTGCGAACTCTAATCTTGGATGGTCTTTCTGTTCCCGCAGATCTGGTTGCGGAACTTATCTTGACTGACCGTTTCAACGTAAACCTACTGTCAATAAGGGAATGTTGTGATCTAAATGAGCGCAAGTTGATACAAGTGCTTCAGCATGCTGTCCGGCCTTCGCGTCCCAAAGGGACCCCTCGGGTGAAAGGCATTTATTACTTTACCCCGGTGAGCCAGCCTCGAGCCATGATGCGAAGCCGCTACCGTGACTGGTGGAGTTCCAGATGTACTCTTCCAACGAGCAACGGGGCCCTGGAGCCGCCATCTTCCGATGACTCTCAAGAGAGCGCATTGTATTATCAGAATGCGTGGTATCGCCCCTCTGGAAAACTTATACCTCGCTCGATCGAGGAAGGTTGGGCCCATACCATTCAACAGTGCGAGGGTATCATTTCTTTTGACGCCGTACTGTGTCGTGGACCCCAGCATAATGTTGACCTCTACACATCGCTAGGACATAACGAAGAAGGGTATCGGCCCGAAGGTCAGCCACTCGGACCAGCAATCGCTACCGTCGCCCTAGGTCCCAAAGGGTGCGACGGTTGCCGTACTTCACCAGAAGGCCCGGCAGTCTGGGGTGAATCTCCGGAAAGGCAGTTTCCTTTGCTGGCCCCGCTCCCTTTGCATTCGTCATCTATAGCTGTGGCGAAGCGTCCAGTGCTCTTTCCCGATGCGCACCCTATCCTGGTTGCCCGTTGCGCTGAGTGCTTGAACGATCGCTGGTGTCGTCGGTGCAACAAATGGTTCTGCAAGAACTGCCTACCAAGTCCTGAACGGGCGACGACTAGCTTATCACCCCATCAAACTGCGGTCAGGGGGCCGCGAGCTAGCCAGGATACAAGTTTATCTCACGAGCGAAGAGTACGCTTCTCAATGACTGATAAACCTAGTGTTATGAACAGCCACCACTGACGTAAATGTCACAGAGATTCCGACTTGGAGTGAGTAGGGACTGCTGGGAATGCGGGCCGACGGCAAGTGCTTCTCTTTTGCAATTTTTTTATATTAGAATGATGGACGTCTCATAATAATCTGACGGGCTTTTACAGTGCGCTACCTGCAAAACTGAATGCCAACGGACGTGCCAGAATTGCCAAGGAGAATATTGTGTTGATCATAATGAAGGTTGCTCTCCAACAATGGTATACTACCGAACTACTTGTATGATATTTAGGTCACAGGGACTAACAAATGCCATTCTAGTGTGACTGGTGTAACACAAGTGCGCGTCATCAATTTAGGCAGCTCTATTGACATGTGGGTAAGTTAAATGGGCACGTCACGATATACCCAGGGAAGGCTCCATCTGAGATGCCATGAAGTGAATTATTGTTCACGTCTTTTCACATATGTTAAAGGGCTTTGTTCTTTTCCCGATTCCGATAGCTTTGTGAACCTTGTCCTTCCTTGACCTGAACAAGCAGGCTTGCTTGAAGCCAGCCGATACGCTCTTTTCCATCTGAATTACGGGATATCTTACGTCCTGGGAAACATGAAGCCAGTGAAGTAATGTGGCTGTGCCATTTATACCCACCAAATCTACTCTGTAGAAGTTGTCCACTACTTCAAGTTAAACGTGAGACCAAAGGCAGTCCTATTCCTGACTTTCGTCTTTTCCTCGATCAATGATGGAATAGTCTTCAGGTACGGTAAGCCATTGGTGCTGCTCTATGAGTTTTCTTGGCTAGATAGCTGAATACCTAATCCTTTCTTTTCCCTGTTTATTAATCAATCCCCTTCCTACAACTATAGACTATAATAGAAATAGACGATAGAACCTCTCTAGATTACCTGAGTACCCAACGAATTCAACTCTGTCAGCAGGTAAAATCGACTAGTCAAACTTATGGCAGAGTGGCCATAATGGCTTGCCGTGACTAGAACCACATAGCAATTTCAGGAACTACTCGTAGAAGCCTTAGGTTTGGGGCCCTCATTTAGGGAGCGAATGTGCGTCGTCGCCTGTAAACCGGAGCGCTGGATTAGTACGGAACTAGTGGGTGGAATGCCGAGCGACCCCCAAGTAATGATTCAGGTACACAACTTAAATATACCAAACTGCTTCCGCCAGAGATCCACAACAATAAGTATATATGAGTGTAGTCTTCTGGAAATTTGACAATGTTCACTTTATGAGGGATTACATCATTATTGAAGATATATCCAATCGTTTGCTACAACATCTAATATAAGTAAGTACTCTCTACCAATGATGGAAGGTCAAAGAATGTAGCCGAGGCCTCATCCCAGTAGCAATAGTACGGTTAGCACCACCGGCCTCTCCAGAGCTCACGTCACGCACCTTTTGCTCCAGCGTAGTGACTATGGGAGGGCCGTTGATTGACATCGTGTAGCTGGTCATTCTCGGCGCTCACGGGTGGCGGCTGGCTCGAGACAGGTGCGTAACCGGGCTTCTTCGGGTCAGGAGCTGCTTCACTAGTGAAGGCTAGGCCCCAGGGGGAGGAGGGGAAACTCCTTGCCGCTCAGCTATATGCCATTCAGGAGGAACAGGGCCTCGATCACGGGGTTCACGTTGATATAGCCTACCTCAGGGATCATACCCAGTCCGACAGCGACAGCGGGCTCGGATCAAGGACCATAAAAGCTGAGCTACGAGGTAATATGCATATTTCCGACTTGTCTGCGTCATTTAACGCACGCTTTCCGATCCTGATGATGCGGTTGAACTGCAGTAGACACCCCAGCTATCATGCAAGAGGTCACCCACGAGCGGTTCAGGGACCTCAGTGTCCACGGCACGTCCCCTGGGTTATTTTTATGGTTTCCTAGGCGAAAATGGTATCGCATCACGCAAATTTGGGGATATGCAAAAGGTGTATCCCAAATTTGCAGGGAAATAGTGGTGCTTCTCCTACAAGCCAACGGTGGTATAAACAGTGGCGCCAAGTTGTTGAACCAAAGTGATGTCGTACAAACCTCAATTCCGGGGGATTGTATAGCTGAAACCTGGCTATCTTTGTGGCTAGGAAATAGATGTACCTGTATTAGCACGCGAGAGGTAGAATGAGGGCTACATTATGAAAGGTTCGTCATAAGGTCAAGAGAGAAGATAAACTCCAAACTACCCCTGTATATTGTATTTCTGCCCTGACTAAACTGGCTAACCCTGCTCTAGTAGGTGGATGGCATAAGGAAAGGACACGAAAGCAATTGGGACTGATAAATTTGGTAGACAACGGCTAAGCTGATTATTATAAGTCCGATCTGACTCCCTGCAATCGCGGTATACTAAGGTCAGTCAATTAAGGCGGGCGGGGCCGTGTAGATTTATGACAAATGTTTGAAAACTTTAAATATACTTGGGCGGTGAGGTGAGGGTAACTTCGAGAACAGCCGCGACGCCTCTTTTATCTCCGTATAACTCCGTATCCACCGCTATCAAGAAAGCTTGCCCCGCCTATATAAGATGTTGCTGAACATCTCGCTCCTTTTACCTCATAGCCTCTGCTATAGTGCCAATCAGAGTCATGTCTAAGGAATCGGATCTCTTGCGTTGGTCCTCCCCATTCACGGTGACTGCGCCCCATCATACGCCCAAGCTGCCTGGCGACAAAATCACTTTGCCCCAGTCCGCCCTCGAGCAGCTCCTCGCAGCTGCCCCGCTCCAGGAGATATTTCCAAATACTAGGCCTGCTCGCCCATATACTACGGCCTTTGACCCACCTAATCTGCGAACCTTTGCGACTGAGTCACGAGCACACAAACAAGCTTCAGAACGTCAACATCAGTTACCTCATCCGCTAACATTCCGTATTGTCAACCCTAAGAATGGTCGTGCGATATACGCCGGGATACGTGAGTTTTCCGCCGAAGAGAAGGAAGTTGGTCTTAGTGCTTTCTTGAGAGACGCCTTAGGGATTGAAGACGACCAATTCCCGTCGGAGACGAATAGATACCGGCAGACTTTGGAACCCTCGGAAACGATAGATGGCACTGCGGAACCGCAGCCTGCTTCTTTAGCCCCGGGCCTAGCTCCTTCAGTCACAGTCCATGTTGAACAGCTGCCCAAAGGAACCTATGTTCGTCTCCGACCTCTCGAGCCTGGCTATGATCCAGAGGATTGGAAGGCTCTGCTTGAACGATACTTGCGAGATAATTTCACGACATTAAGTACGGGAGAGGTCTTGCAGGTTTTGGGGGGACAGCACGAGTCGTTTAGATTCTTGGTGGACAAAATTGAGCCAGGAGGTGACGGCATCTGCATTGTTGATACAGACTTGGAGGTAGACATTGTGGCCCTAACTGAAGATCAAGCAAGAGAAACCTACCGGAGGCGGCTGGAGAAGGCATCTCATGCCATTGGAACCCAGGGATGCTCTTCAACCGGCGGGGTACTTTCTATTGGAGAGAAAGTGCATGGCCTGGTAGTTCGAGGTGCATACGTTGACTACGAAATCCGCGAGTGGGATCGCGGAGACCCTGTTATTATCACAGTCGAAAGTGCAGGTGATGCCGACGTCTCCCTTTTTGTCAGCCCCCTTACCGCTCGCCAGAGGAACCGTCCTAGAGTAGACCAGCACCTTTTGAGTGACTTCACTACCCAACCGATCAAGCAAGTTCGGATTGAGTCCACGAATGTAGAGCTGGAAGCGGCAGAGGCTCTCTATATATCGGTTTATGCATTTGCCCATCTTGAATACAGCGAGGAGCATCCACAGAACCAAGAGCTACCGCTGCAGTACGAGTTGCAGATCTCAACTAGTCAGTCAGTTGGCTTCAACGGAGATTCGAAGGAGACATTAGCGCATGGTAATCCGAATGACGTTCAATGTGGTAATTGCCAACAATGGGTGCCTCAGCAAACGCTAGTGCTGCACGAAAGCTTTTGCCTTCGGAACAATGTACTTTGCCCTCAGTGCCATAATGTATTCCAAAAAAGGTCATCTGAATGGCAGAATCATTGGCATTGTCCTAATGACTCATCTTATGGCAATGATGTTTCAAGTAAGCGCAAGCATGACGTTATCTTCCACTCCCGGCGGTCATGTCGCGCTTGTGGGCTCGAGATGGAGGGCCTTCCGCGACTCGCTCATCACCGCATAACTGACTGTCCAGAAAAACCAATTTTATGCCAATTTTGTCATCTTGTAGTCCCCCAAAAAGGCGAGACAGACCCCGATATGCACGACCCAGAAGTCCTGGTCTCTGGCCTCACTCCGCATGAACTAGTTGACGGTGGTCGGACAACTGAGTGTCACCTGTGTAACAAGATTGTTCGACTGCGTGACATGAAGACTCACTTGCGTCATCACGACCTGGAACGCTTGTCCAAACCCCCACCGCGTGTTTGCTTGAACCAAAATTGCGGCCGTACACTTGATGGACGCAGTGTACAAAGTGCAGCCACGCCAGGCACTGATACATTAGGCCTCTGCAGTTTTTGCTTCGGATCACTATATGTGGATACGTATGACCCTGAAGGGAAGGCACTCCGCCGTCGCATCGAGCGTCGATACCTTTCGCAAATGATGACCGGGTGTGGGAAGCCCTGGTGTCAAAATGAGTATTGCAAGAATGGGAAACGGGCCAGACAGCCTTCTTCCATACCAATGAATGATCTTCCGCTAGAATCGATGAGCGTAGCAACGATTCTTGCCACAATTAAACCCTTCGTCGACGCCATATGTCTGCGAAGCGGTAATCTAAACACCGCACCGTTTTACTTTTGCACAGACCAAGTTGGCCAGCAGCGTCGCGTACTCGCGGAGATGATAGCGGCCGAAGGTTCCGTGGCTAGTGGCAAAGGGTATGATTTACCATGGTGTGTGGCATCCGTTGAAGCCACGGGAGGGGACCTCAGCAAAGCACGGGAGTGGTTAGAGAACTGGGCACCTGCGAAAAATGAAAAAAACTAGTATTCTATGTTAGTGCTTAAAGGAATTGACAATCTCCATCTGAGGCTTTTACCTAATTTTGTATAGGATAGATGTTAGAAAAGTCAGGTGGTGGAAGTTCGCTCGGGTAAATTGTTTATCTATCTTACGGCATTCACGCTCAGGCCGGGGCGGAATTTATGTAGACTATTTAGTTTGGGGTGTATACTTATTTTGTTGCTTTCGTAAATCATAAGCAAGTAGCTCTCGTTGGCTGGAGTGACAGACACAATGCCTGTAGACAGGAGTGTAGAGACCATTAATTCATAATATTCGTACATACTAATATAATGTGACCGAGATCCTATGTTGTCTACGCAGGACCAAGAGCATTTACTCACAAGACATATCACATTGGATTCAAGAAAAAGATTCAATATCAAGTCGCACCCGTCTTTGCAGCCAAAGTCCCACTTCCGCGTGAAGAGAAGATTCCCATGATCCCGAAGACGACGTAAAACAGCGCCAATGGATACGCTACTAAGCCTCTCATCCCGCGCATCCGTGCAACCGCGCAAAACATTCCCGAGGAGCTGTATGTACACCACCCTACGGCAGCTGTCGTCAACAGGTACCCGAACATAGTGTCCATAGGGATCATTATCCCAACAAGGTTAGTGAGCACAAGCGGTAGGAAACAGTAGCCCAGAACACTAGCAGAGCGAGGGAATGTCAATGTGGCCGAGAAATGACCGGCCGCCGATGCCTCGGAATACGAAGGTTTGTGGTGGGGATCGTAGTTGGCCGGGTCTGCAGAACTGGACGCTGGGGAGGTATCGAGAGCCGGAGACATAAGACTAAGAATCAGATGTAGAGCAACGGTGCCGAAAACTGCAACACCGTATATATAGCCGTAAAAGACTTTACCAGAAAGGAGGAGGAATGTTCCGTAGAGGACAATGTAAAGCAGTGCTCCATAGAGATCGCTGTCATCCATGAGGTGCTGGTCGATCCGAGCGAAAGGATTGAGCACTGTCAAAGTCTGCAAAATATAAGTTGATGCCACTATGATGAAGGTTAACAACAAGGGGAACCAACCTTAGTCCTGATATGTTCGAAATTTACCCCCAGCTCCTCCAACAACGGCGGCTCCCCATCGTATCCCTCTGTGCCAAATGCAGCAAGCCACCCAGTCCTCAGGCCGCCCTGTTCGCCCATCCTTCCACTAACGCCAGTGGCTGGAGATCCAAAGCCGCCATATCCACCACCAACCCCTCCAATGGGGTACGCCTGAGCGGCCGGGTTAGGACCTGCACTAAAGCCACCATAGGAAGCTTGAGAGGGAGTCGTATGGCCAGACACAGAACCGTAGGAAGAAGGATAAAACTGGAGGTTCTGTGCAGAAGCCTGGGATCCGTAGGGCTGTTGTTGCGGGTAGTATTGGGCCATTGTGGCCAATGATGCAAGCAGAGGTTGTCTAGATAGGTGAGAGTTCAGAGGTGAAAGCGCACACAGATGACAGTATAGTTGTAATTTATTAGTGGTATCAACAAATTAAGAAAGACAACCCAATATGGAATGGAAAGTTGTAGCGGGAGAGCACTACCAGTAGTTGTATTGAATGACAGTTGTCGGTGTTGCCCTACTAAGTCCGACGAGACCCGTGACTTAGATGGCTAAGGATGTGGATATTTACCATATTGGGCCTAGATCGCTTCTATTACATAATCACTCAATACGTCGTACGTACATTGATACAAGTACTAATACCACCAAGAAGACTTCTATTAATTACAACAGGACTCAGACTTTCTACAGAAAATTAATACCAATTCCAAGCTGCAAACCTTTTCGGCCTTCTTCGCCTTTCCTTAGCACCAGTGGTAAAGAGAAATTCAGCTCGAACCTAGCAGCTGGATGAGCGTACACGAGCCCAACTCCTGCTGCGATGCTAGGCATTCCATTACCCAACTCAGAAATTGTAGAAATCATGGCGTCCCTCACTTCTGAGCCTGTAGTAGGTGTGCTCTTCTGTGCGGTTCGCAGAGGCAACAGACGACCACCATTTACAAACGCCTGGAGTCGCAAGGGCTTTTCTGCACCAACCCGGGGGAGTGGAAGCAGCAAGTTTGCACTTCCTGCAGCATATACGTCTCCTCCCACAGCATCAGCTCCATCGTGAGGCCCAAGGCCGCAGAGGCGGAAACCACGAACATCCGTGGGGCCCCCAATAAGGAAGCGATCATTCGTACGCGAAAGCTGGGGTCTGTGGTCGGCATCCATTCCAAGAGGATAAAGGAGACCGGCACGGAATCCAGTGGTAAAGCTGATACCACTGTTGCCTTCGATGCCCGGCACTGGAATTGGGATTGCATTTTGTGCTTCAATTTCGGATTTCCAAAAAGACACATCTCCCTTTAGCGGACCCCAACCGGCTAGCTCATTGAAAGCCTTAGCATAGTAGCCACGAGATGGAAGAAGCCCATTGTCCCTGCGGTCTTTGGACCAGGAATGAAAAATGCTACTTTTCACACTATCACCTGCGTCTGCTCTGATTGTTGGGGATGCATTCTCCGCCAGGCCAGTCATCTGCCGCCAAAGACCATTGTATCCGACTTCATGGCGATGGCCGGACTGACTCATCCACCGGAGCTTGCTCCACCAACCTTTCAAGGCCTCCTCGTGACTAGCCCAAGCCTTTTGCGTAGAGCTAGCGATTCCGCCAATTTCCAAACGGAAATCCGGGTCACTTAGAATGGGTGTTTCAAATGTCGCTTGGTAGGCAGACCTTGTCCTAGTACCCAGTGAAGCGTTCAAATTTAGGTTTTCGGCACCGCCGAACACGTTCCGCCAGAGAAGATTGCCATACGCGGATCCCTCCGTGTTACCGAGATCGGTCCCGGTCTTCAGCAGAACACGAGACTTTTCTTTGACCGATACAAACACGTCAAGAGTTGGGAGTCCCGTTTGTGGGTCTCCGGGCGATTGATCCAAGTACACAGACACTGGCTGCTGAAAAATGTCTGCAATTGCGTTAATCAAGGTCTTAGTGGCAAAGAACAATGATCTACAAACCGAATCTACTTAGTTTATCGGCACGAGCTGAGACTTCCCGTAAGGCTTCAGAAAGTGTGTAAGGCCACTTCTGGTTAGAACTTAGGAGAGGGTTGAAAATCCGTTCAAGAAAGCCCCTGCGCGTGTGGTGTGCGTTGAGTATTTGAACAGACGAAATGACACATGGCAGGGTGGAATTTTGGTCGATCTGGTATCATACACAGATGGTCAGTACTCATTGTATTAGGTTCAGTTGTCTTTTGCCTGTATGCAATAACCGAAAAGGGGGGGGGGAACAAGAATAAGAGAAATATAAGAGGGAAGTGAAGCCACACCAATTCCCCAAGACGGGTCTGCGCCTTCTGGTAGATCGCATGTATTCGCTCATTCACGGCCTGCTGTTGCTCCTCGAGCACTTTCGGGTCGGCACGCTGTTGAAGACGCTCGAAGATCTGAGAAAACAGAAAGGCGGTTAGCAATCACAAAAATAAGCGTCTTTAGTTAAATTCTAAGAAATGAAACGTACGTCTTCATCTTCGGCGGAAAGTGGGGAAGACATTGTTGCGGCTACAATGGCCAACGACGCCTCTGGAAGGCTTTCTATGTCATCTTCGATTGTCTCGGAAGTTGACGAAGCCTACATATGACACGTGACCATCAGTGCTCCTTAGATTCAACTCCACTGGCACCTACATACAAACACAATGACCTTCCATCATCACTTCGTCCAATAGACAAGCCCTGCACAGTTTACGAACTGTATCGCCCTGCTTCCGTTTTATCATTTCTGTGGAATTTTCCCTGAATATCCGCACTTGGAAGTAGTTCTCGAACGAGGCAGAACATAATTCTTATGATAAGATGGCGACGAAAGCAGCCTTCAAACGGGTGAGTCTAACAACTTAAATGGTATTCGAGCTATGACTAATCATTATACAGCTTACTCGTGAATATCAGAACATACAAAAGAACCCACCGCCCTATATAATTGCTCATCCATCGGAGTCCAACATTCTTGAGTAAGATGTCGATCACGTTTCCCGTTGTTTTCTCGGAGCCGGCATTGATGCAGAGTATAGATGGCATTACATCCTCACTGGACCCCCTGGGACACCGTACGAGAATGGACAATACTGGGGCACCTTAATGTTTCCTCCAGAGTACCCATTTGCTCCACCAGCCATCCGCATGCATACCCCAAGCGGCCGATTTCAACCATCTGCTCGATTATGTCTCAGCATCAGTGATTTTCACCCCAAGTCCTTCAACCCAGCTTGGGAAGTTTCGACGATTCTTATCGGACTACTCTCCTTTATGACTAGCGAAGAGATGACTACGGGTAGTGTCAGTGCGTCAGAAGCGGAACGAAGAGTGCTGGCCGCGCGGTCGAGGTGGTGGAACTCCACAGGCGGAGGATCTCACGTCATTTCCACTCCAGGAGTGACCCCTACAGCCAAGGGAATCAACAATGTGAAAGCAGGAGATGGCGGGCTGAAGTTTCGCGCAGAATGGCCAGAATTAGATCAAGAGAATTGGAAGTGGATGAGAGACAATCGGATTGACACGAACACTGGCCAACTCATACCTGACCCCAATGCTGCTGCTGCTGCTACAAAATGTTCTCCAGAGACCAGTGCACTACGTAGGCGCCCGAACGGAAGTGCCCATGGCCTCGGGGCTGTGGTAGAAGGTGGTCACGTCGCACGAGAAGCGGGCCAAAGTTGGGTTCGACGGAATCGAGTTTGGGTTGGTCTCGCCTTATTATTTGGATATGCACTTGTCGCGAGACTACTAAATGATGTTCAAGGTTAAGATTGAGTTTCTTGACTCTTGACCCTTTTCATACCCAGGAGGCGTTTAGCATCCAATACGTGGCGTCATTTTATATCTCGTTTTTTGTCGATGCTCCTTTTTATTTTCCTCTTCCACCCTTGTATATTCTATTTTTCTTTACTTTTTTCGTCCATTCCTCGGCCGTCCCCTTTCTCTACAGCGGCAGTCTCCTGTATCTTTCTCCGTGTTTTGTAAGGTTCGTTGGTTTTATAAGGACCGAGAGGCGTCTGGAAACAGGGCGGCGTTCGGTGGTAATTTGAGAAGCTTCAGGTGTCTGGGACGTATTAAATCGCCAGTGTGCTCTGCAATCAAGGATCACTGCGCCCTTCTACTGCACCTCTGTACAGCATATTTCCTACAGCGTATACACTTAATTTGATTTAGTCATCTACTGGTGATTTCAAACAGGGTATGGAGATCAAAAGTACATACACGCCATTTCCCAAGATCATATTCGCAACTGCGTGTGTATTAGATACATATAGTGAAGAGCCACCTAACTTTAACTGAGGTCTTGAAGAATACCCGGTTAATGGCGGCCTTAGATATGAGGGTTCTAAGGTGAGATAGCGGTGCTACATAAATGACTTCACAATACAACATCTGCTGCTTTTGAAGTTGCCGGCATTCTCGCGGCATTCCATATCTCTTCTATTGTTGCGATTTGTTATTTTTACTTTACTTTTTTGCCTTTTCGGGAAGATGATGAGCTAGGTTAGATTGGAACTCTTCCGTAGAACAACTTAGAGGTAATGTGAACATTTATAGTGGTTAACATTGCGTGATCGTTCTGCTTAATTTAGAGGAGTCTTATATGAGAATCTTAATTAATGCTTTTATCTCAAATTATGTCGAGACAAAAGTGCCTTTTTAACCCCTGATGGTCTAGTTGGATATGGCGTCCGGCTGTAATGGCATATACCTGTGTAACCGGAAGGTCGCCGGCTCGATTCCGGCTCGGGGGATGAGGTATCTTTTTCTAGATTTTTTTCTATCAAGCATGGTGTGCTGGTATATATATATACCAGCAGCCAGCAGCACGAACGTGCTTTAATCTTCTTTCTGTATGACTGTAATCAGGTAATCGTTATCAGGAAGCGGAAGACAGGAGATCATCCAAAGGAAATATTTCCCAGGAATACCATTTTTATAGCTTTATACAAACACCTATCTCGATATACCGATAACCCAATCCTTTGTCCCTAAACACAAGCCCCCGATACCAGGTAAACCTCATAATATATTCCTCTTTTGGATGAAACTACATAGAGTTATTACGGATACGATAGCTATATATATGCTATTTGGTTCTTAACAGGAAAGACGAGAATAAGCCTTCATCCTATTTACAATACATCCTCATCGCTCTACTATAGTGTCTTATTAACATGCTGTCCACATAGAAGGCAGTCTTTCCCCACAGGACACGATCTCAAAAGCAGCACCCTTCTCGCTCCACTAGGACTCTTCCTAGCCTAGCAACACAATACGAGGAAGCACAAGAAGGCATCATATTTCTCATTGCTGTTCCATTCCAAACCCATCTGTCCCGAGGGGAGAGAACTAGCCGGAGTCGAAAGAGGTTGATTTCCCAGTCCTTTGGCGTGCTGCCCATCCAGGATGTCATTATTTTAACCACCGAACCCATAGCACTGTGGGTAGATGAATCCGAGGTCAAGACCCTGTAGGGCCCCCTTGATATTCAATTGGTGAATCTCCACGCCTTTACCACATGCCGTACGGCGGTATCCGATCCTGAGTCTATTAACTGGACTATCCATTAAATGGTTGATGCGCTTGAGAAGAAGCTGGATCCAAAAAAGTCCTCCGCGAAACAGGATATAGCTATTGCTACTGCAGCGGAATACTTCATTCATTCTTCCAAGGAGATGTTATACCATCTACCGTAACGTACCGGACTCACTGACGACAAGGTTGGTGTGATATAGCAAGACCAAGGTCAACTGTAGCTTGAGAAGAAGGGGCTTAGTGCAGAAAGGTAGATATTCTGGGAGGGACGATTTGGCAAATGCAAGCAGTCAAGGAATTGCGCGACAACACCAAGGAGACAGCGAGAGGGGTTTTCTAGGGGGTCCAGTGATTCCTACCGTTTCTTTTCTTCATAGTATATATTGCAAAATCTTGCCCATGTCAAAAATTGAGGATTTTGGTAGGTTCTGATGAATGTGGTGTGATATCAGGCTACAAAATAGGTCTGGTAAATATCTTCTACATACAAAAAATATGCAGCAGCTTCTGTGTTCGTCACAATATCTATCAAATAAAAGAAAGGGAAACATTGTTGTAGAAAAAGAATTTTATGCTCATGGGTAAGCTTGTGCCAATTAGTATTGTACCAAAAACGACATAGGAAATATGCAAATTTATTGACAGGTTCATGGAAATGTAAACAAAAAAGGATGCCTTGTTCCCCCGAGCCGGAATCGAGCCGGCGACCTTCCGGTTACACAGGTATATGCCATTACAGCCGGACGCCATATCCAACTAGACCATCAGGGGTTTAAAGACACGATCTTTACAATGTTTTAACATTATCAAGTTAAAAAAGGTTTACTCTACATCCAGTATTGTATCTGTATACCTTTTCCATCTTTGTGGTTCATCATAGTCTCTCCCTTCTAGTCCTTCCTTGCTAATTCTATGGAACTCGGAAAACAATATGACCATGTTCTTTGTAGTTGCTATGGCTCATCTTCAGTTGTAGCCTTTTTCGATGTCCCATGGCGTCTCGTCATGTACTATCGCTTAGGCATTTCTCTAGTTTCTCTAAGAGGCACCCCCTTTAGAGCATCGTCTAAGCTGTTCATTTTCGTCACGACTCTATCACCGTCATTCTTGAGCCAGACAGAGTAGTCACCATTGGTCGCTTCAATTGACACAGCTAATCGATTAGCTGGGTCGCGACTTAATGCTTTGGTTGCATACATCTCAGGATTCAGGGTGTCAGTAAGTTGGGATTATAGTGTGATTCGGTCTCCAACATTTACCCCTAGATGTAGTTGCTGAGATATAGTAAACTCAGTCACTACAACTGATACGATGTGTATTTTGTACATCGCCCCCTGTTCTTTATCCGACGGTTCTTTTCCACTTTTGAAACCTCTATCTATAAATGCATGTTCCTAGGAACAAAATGTCTCCAAACCCCTGATGGTCTAGTTGGATATGGCGTCCGGCTGTAATGGCATATACCTATGTAACCGGAAGGTCGCCGGCTCGATTCCGGCTCGGGGGACGAGATTATGTTTTTGTTTTTATATCCCTAGACATCAAGGGATGATAGAGATATCTGGCTTATCTGACTCGCTTCCGTTTTTACCTTCTCTGGTATGGAGGTACACTGTATTTTGTATGTACACCACTGCTACGCATGGCTCGCGGCGGTTTATATCCCAACCTTATGTACAGCTATATTGGAGGCTCTACTATATAGGATAGTTTTACTATCAACTAGAAAGTAACACCACAGGAACGTATCTGGTACGCTACTATCCTCCTCGTTGAATATGATTGACTCGAGATAAATCAATAGCCTTGGAACCGTACAGGGGTGTCGCGTCTCGGCGTCCACCATACTCTCCATCCTTTCCAACGTCAGCCCAATAACCTGGGAGACTCTTTTCGTCACCCTAGCACGGCCTTAACACGCTGCGGAATATTATCGGCTAGATAACTTCCAAGCAACAGTTCATCTAATTCTTTGAGGCGCTGAATCGTATCTACTACTCTATTCAGTTTCAGGTAAGCTTCTTTTAGCTTAAGCAGCGGTGAACGAATCTATTAGCAGAGACGGCCACTCTTTCATCAGCACCAAAAAGCAAAGGTAGTTAAAAAGACAAGAAGCAAAATTTAGGGGGAAATGAGAGGTCTGAAATAACTTAAAGTCATATACACAAAGAGGTTTCAAACAGCCTAATCGTGCGTATCTAGATGCTCCTGAACCCTTGGTCCGTCATCAAGATGCTGCCATTCCATCATAAATACTTAAAAAAAATCGCTTTCTTCTACTCAGACTTGCAGTCTTAGCATATACATTTGGTTCGTAGCTTCTTGAGCACTTTTTGTCCATTTAGACTTCTGTGCATTGCAATCTGCAGCCACAACCAGTCCAAGTAGTGCAAGAATCGGTGGAAGTAGTAACAATGGCAATGCTCCCTATCTTTATATTAGGTCTATAGGTAAATCAGCTGTTAGGGAAATTTTCAAGTTTATTACTCACGTTGTAGTTCAAGACTCTGGGTTTCTTGCTTTGATAGATATTCGTGGGTGTGTCTGCAAGGATTGGTGCAGCATGCATTAAGTAGCCTCCGATTTTGAATCCGTGATTTGGTGGCGAAAGACAATCATATCAAACAAACTACACACAGCTGACAATATCCCCACCTTGAATATATATGTGAGGGAGTGTACTCGGACTCGGAGTACTAGGGGCGTTTGTCGAAATATGTACTGGTGCGGGGTCAAAGGCCACAATATAGATACGCTGGTGATGTTGTAAGCTAGCAAGTAAAACGATAATTATCAAGATGCCATGTGACAGGCCAGGTAAACATAGACAGTTCATAGTTAGCTATGGCCGATCTATACAGTTCAAGGAGCATTGTTAATAGAACCGTAGTCAAGTTGGACTGTGTAAATTCATATGTAGTTGTCGTCGGCTAAGGTAATTTTTTGCTAGCAACCTCATTCTATGAAGTCATGACAAGAATTACTCAGTTGACACAGATTAGGTACTATATCAGGCATCGCCGGAAGTTCATTCGGATATTAGTTTTAGTGGGATGGGGTGCACTATCTTACACAGTAGATCAAGACAGACAACAATACTTTGTACTGAGTACTATTACACCCAGATGAACATAGCAAATTGCGGATCAAATTTCCGGGAATCGAACTAGAAGAGAGCGGACGTCAAGCTGATTTCGAAAAGCTATAGAGGAGGACCGAGAAGATGGATACGAGCGCTGAGGTGTTATGTATAAAACGACGAGCGGCGGCGAGGACTGCCAGCACTTTGGACGCTTAAAACAGGCATCAGAGGTGGCCATTTGTGGCCGCCAATTCACCGTCTCATCCGTAAGTGTAGTAAAAACGGCTTTTAGTTATGTAGCATAAGTTAGCCGGCCCCCATCGCCTCAACTCCTGATGGTATAGTTGGATATGGCGTCCGGCTGCAATGGCATATACCTGTGTAACCGACCTTTTTCTTTGGCATATAGCTTCAAATAGTATATATGTTTATATAACAGAAGCTGAATGAGTCAGCATCGCAAACACCCCTGATGGTCTAGTTGGATATGGCGTCCGGCTGTAATGGCACATACCTATGTAACCGGAAGGTCGCCGGCTCGATTCCGGCTCGGGGGAAGCGTTACACTTTTTGACCTCTAGCCAGCTTTCATGTCACTTCCCAAGACTCTCCA